GTGGACTGCTGCCTAATGCCTTCCTGAGATTTGCCAGCCTCATGGCAAATGGGTAATGAAATGCACAGTGACTTCCAAAGGGCATCAGCACAGAGGGCTGCCATCAAAAGGTTTCCCATCCTCAGGTGGCTTTAGCCTGGACCTGTGGTCAGAACTTTCATTCATTCTCAAACCCAAATAAAGCCCTCCCTTTGAGGAAGCCTGAAACAACGGAACAGCAAAGGACAAGAGGGGAGTTATATGAAGGAAAGGATACAAGGGCCAGCAACACATGGATTGAGCAAATGGCAGTCAGTGATGTATCACCAAGCAGTAATGCACCACTGGGAGCATGAGAGAACTCAAGTTATACAAACTTGGTGTAAAAGCAAGCATTTGCTTCATACTCTCTTACCCAAAAGCTAAGGTAGTCCTTGGGTTATGCCTGCTGGTAACACCTCAGCATGTATGTACTTGCTTTGTACAGACCAGGGTGAGCCCACATATGCCCCATTCTCTGCACATAGAGCCAACAAGTTGCTCAGGGGGGCACATGTCCCTGTGTGTGAGGCCAGTGAACCCAAGCAGGTATACACATCCTTGATTTACATCACACAAGTCTATCAGCCTGTTTTTATCCTGCTGTGGGCAAAGGGACAAGTTTACCTTCCCATTAGCATAAGAAGGCTTTGCAGTACGGCAGATGTCACAGTGGGGTGTTCTCCCTCCACAGTGTCTCTGGGAAATGGGGAGGGAGAAATGCAGTGTCTGTGTAGGGCAGCTCCTAGATCACAGAGTCCATGACAGCTGGCCTGAAGTGAGAGCAGACTTCAGGAGGAATCTCTGTGCACTTTCATCTTCATGTCAGTGAGAGCTATACAACAGCAGGAGAGCTTCCTGTCAGATCAAGCCTTAAGCAGGAGAAGACTCAAGCGTACCAGGCCATAGCCTGTAGGTACCAGTGGTACTGCCTGCTGCATGACGCCGGGGATTCCAACTCAGGAGCAAGTGGCAAAAAGAAGTTTCAATCAACAGACTGGCATCTCTCTTTTTGAGCATTACGGCTGTCCTTCTGTCCCTGGCAACTCTGCCTACATTTGCTGAAGAAGGGGCTTGTCTGCACCATTAAGAACCTTTACTTTACGCGATCGAGAAGAAATCAATGCCTTTAATTGTCAGCAATGGCAGCGGAGGAGGACAGGGAGATGGGAGGGGTGTTTCTCTGGAGACATGCTTCTCAGGAGAAATCCCAGTAGTATTGTCACAGGAAAAGAAATAGTAAGGACCTGAAGTAATTAAACTTCCAGGCAGCAATTGTTTACTGGAAGCAGGGCAGAAACGGCTCTGAGCCTCATAGAAAATCAGGGCAGTGGCTTGGCTCTCCTAGGGTGCAGATGCCCCTACCCTGAAGTCAGTGGCTGGAGGTGACATTTACACCATGCTGGTGAGTGGAGAGAGGAGAAATGCGGACAGCCCCTTTCCTTTACTTTTCCTTTTGCTTTCCCTTCCTCTTCCCCCTCCATCTCGGTGTTTATAGGCACAGCCATGCCTCGCAAGTTTGGAAGCATCCGCATCGTGCGGCATAATCAAGTTATTCTAAATGAGATCTGAGACATTTTAATATCCTGAGGCCATACACCCTTAACTCCGCGTGCATCTTCCTCTCTCTCTTTTTCTCCATTTCCTCCTTCCCGCTCACCTCTGCAGTTCCTGGAATGACAAGACACCTCACCGGCTGGCTGCAATTGCTAAAACACTCCCTAATGCTTTCTCCGATTGCATTAAGCGGCTTCTTCAGAGATACAGCCCTGTTTATTCATGCTGCTCGTGTGGAAGGGGAAAGAAATGCAGACTGCCTCTCCCCCTCCCTCCTTTGATTCGATGGGTGTGGCAGGTTTAAACCTTTGCAGCCGAGGCTCGCCAGCACTGGGCGCGGAGCGGAGGACGGAGCGGGAGGGAAGCCGTCGGATATGGCTGGTGATGAATGAGACTCATCTCACCCACAAGTGGGAAACCTGCTTGCGGGTTATTGTTTAATCACTCATGCAATCCAATACTGAGCACATACCCCCATCACGCCCATCTGTTCCAGTATGCGGTGCATACAACACTCGCATTTCTAGACACCTATCTGACTACCCAGCCCTGCAAATTACTGACCGCATCTCTTGCCAGAAGGAAAGGTTACATTCAGTTTTTCAGAAACTGCCTGACACAGCCCTTACGTTATGCCTCTTTTTAGCTGAATATGTTGCAGGCATGGATTCAGAGGTGCAATTGGCTGTGGGCAGAAATGACAACACCAAGCTATCTACATCTCTCATGGGTGTGCAGTCAGATACCTTGCTCCTCATGCTGGCATTGCACCCACAAGAAAGAATCATCTGCAAACTGCAAGTGTGTGAACACATTTGTCTTCGACGGGCGGGAGAACAGACGCATACAGACGCACCTAGACACAAATGTGAAGAGATTCCTTCCACGCCCAAGCCTGTAACTTCAATGGTTTGCTCTTTTGCTGCCAGAAAGGCGGGACATCGGGGGTTTCCCCTAAAAAAATAATATGAGGTGAGCTGTCCTTATTTTTTGCGATGGAAGCTCTGATCTGTCCTGATAACTCATTCCCTTTTTGTCCTTCCATGAAAGATCTGGGTGGGGGCATAGGAAGAGCCCAAGCTGAAAACTGCAATCTTTTTCTTCTCCAAATTAAATATGCCTCTAATGTACCACCAGCATCGCTGACCGCATTGCTATATTGCCAGTTCGGCAATTTCAGCGTATATTGAGGTATAGGAATGGGAGCTGGGCTCCAAGCCCAGAAACATCCATGGAATATGCACAGGCAGGCACATTCAGGATGTATGGTCGCATAACGATGAGAAAGCATGTGCAAACGAGAGCATGTGTGCTGGTGCATATATGTGTAGTAGGGTTGCGAGCGATCAGAGAGCGCGGATGTGTGCTGCACATGCACGCGCAAAGGGGTGTGTACCATGCGGTGGATTAATGTACAGGGCAGGGGGAGAGCACCGCGTGTGATCCAGATACCTGCATGCCACGCATTTCTTAATATGTTAGAATACGGAGTGATAGGAGCGGATGCACGCAGATGTAAAGAACAGCACGTTGCAGTTTGAATCAGGAGTGCAAATGCTCAGCCTGTGAAAGTGGAGGCAAAATTATTCCCCAATAGGTTTTTTTCTGACTCCAGAAGACTCCAATGCTACTTACTTTATCTTAAAATTTGCCGTGAACCTCTGCACTCTGCCTCTCTGTCTGCCTGCCTTTTCCTCCTCCGCTCTTTTCATCCCATAACTGCCAGCTGAACATGCTGTGCTGGCTGGCTGCAGTGTGATCCCCTCTCCCCCCAGCCATCACCCCCTCCCTCCAGATTTTAGCAAACGTATCATTAATTGCAGAGCATTTGAAACCTGCATGGGGAAAAACACAAGATGACGCAGGGTCCCTTTCCACCCTGCTTGCCTGCCCCTCCCCATTATTCTACAAAATCACTCCTTCATCTGATAACACGTTTCTCCATTCAGAAACACACCTTTCCCTGCATTTTTTTAAGCACTGCACTGTTCTATAGTATGGGAGCTTCTTGCATCAATGTGCTAAGCTATGGCTCGTGAGTGCTGCAGTGCTATATTGTAAGGGATATATCAATGTATGCACATATAAAGTAACCACTGTGGTTCCACACCCAAGACTGAGTTGAGCTTTGCTCTCAGAACAAGGATCCAAGCTCTTTGTCATTACCTCTGAACCTATAATTAGGGGAAGTTCCCCAAATGCCTTATAAAGATATCTGGGGGCATCTCCTGCCTCCAAGTTTTACCTGAATAAATCCAACATCCTCCCAAGAAAGTCTAAGCAGCTCCATGAAAATGGGCTCTTTTAATAAGGAGCAGGTTTGGACTTTCATACAAAATAAAAACAGGGAAGGTGGGAATGAATTATATAGCTTTTTTTTTTTTTTTTTCATTCAAATATATCATTTTAGATACAAAAATTTCATCGCTGACAATCAAGCCGCCGCCCGAATTTCCTTATCAACCCGATTTCCTGACAGGAAAAGCCAGGAGGAACCAGTGAAAAGAATGAACTGGTTTCCAACAGGTTCACACCGTGAGCCTCTCTTATCCCACCCGAGTTCGGAGCTGGCAGAGGCGTGGTCCTCTGTCTCCTCACCAGCTGGTGCACAGTTGTCTAACTGGTTGTACTACGAAGGGTACCGCAAAGAGGCTGCATCTCCCCTCTCCTGGCCAATGCTTTTGTTATTAATTAATTACACTTTTCATTATACCATAGGTTGGAAGAAGGGGAGAGAAAAAAGAAAAAAGCAAAATAAAATAAAATAAAAAAAAAAATCTTCAAGTTAATTCCTGCTCGGATTGTTGTAAGACAAAAAAAAAAAAGGAATGCACCTGTTCTCCGAGCCACCTCACAGCACATGCCCGTAAAGCATCTCCCATTCATCAGAGCCAGGAGCAATAGAAAGCACTCTGACCAGGGATCAAGGCTCACCAGGCATCCTTTCTTTTCTTGGCATATGATGAAGAATCGCTTCCTTTATCTCCAAGGTAGAGCCAGATCTCATCACGCTTCCTGCCAGCCTCCCCCCCCCCCCCACCCCCCACCCTACATCCACACCCTCAGAACCACCGAGAGAAAATCCCAGGCAATGCATCTGATCACAATTAAAGCAAAAAATAATGCTAATAGTAATGGGGAGATGCTGGTAGCTCCCCAAATGTGGACACAGGCCACCCCCCTCCCCACATCAGCAGCCCAGGAAAACCAAAGCAGTCACGCTGAAGGGTGTGAAAAGAGCCTTCAGTCGCAAGATGCTAAAGAATTGCAAAAGAGACATCTGCTGAAAGCAGCTGAAATGTCCTCCCCCTTGCCCCAGCCCCTACCCAAGCCCCTCACACATGCGGGCAGACACACACCCCACGGGCAACCAAGAGCCTGGGAGATTTCTTAGCAGAAAGAAATATAAAAATCTGCAGTTCTACCTGTTTTGTTCTTCTCATACAGCACAGCATGATCGTATTGTCCCCTTCCTTCCTTCTTCTTCCTTCCTTCTCCTCTCTGCTTTTCCTCTTCTCTCTCTTATCTCTCCCCCCCACCCTCTCCGCTCCCTCCCTCCCTCCCTCCCTCTCTCTCCTCTCTCGCACACGCACACACGCACACACGCACACACACCAGGGCAGCGAGCAGTGACTAGAAGGTCCACAGCCACCGCTCGTCGCACATGCACCCGCCGCCTCTCCCTACACCCTGCCCAGAATTGTTCCCCGGCGCTCCCCGACTCGTCCCCTCCCCGGCCCACCCCACGCCCAGCCCCGCAGCCCCCCCAGGTCCCTTGGCCAGCCTCATGAATAATTAACATCTCCAATCTGGACCCAATTACCCAACGCCTTTCAGAGGCTACTGGGAAGAGGGGACGCGGCGGGAGCCCCCAGCCCCGCTCCCACCCGAGCCCCCGGCCACGGTCGGGAGTGGGATTTATACATGGAGGAGCACGGGGTGGGCACGGAGGGGAGACGAGGGAGCGGGGTTCTTGCCGCCGCACGCTGTGTGCTTCATGCACAGGTGACGTACCGTAGGTGGGAGCTGTCAGCTAAACGGGAGTTGGAAAATATGTTAAAATGGCTGTTGGAAGCCCCCCCTCCCCCTCCCTGCACACCCGCAAACATATATGCACACGCTGCCATCTCCGTGCGTGCAGGCACAAACCCCCATGGCAATGTCTTCCTGTCCCTACAACGGGACAACTTTCCCTCTTGTCCCCTGAGTCCATCCTATAGACTTTGCGTAGGCACAGAAAATGATACCCCTGCAACAGATTTATTATTTTTTTAAATTTAAATAGCACTACAGAAGTCATCTGTCTCCCTTCTCTATAGTTCTATATTAATTTCCCTGCCTAAGTGATTTCTGCATCTATTGATCTCAGCCAGCAAATTTCTGTAAACTGATTTCTGTAAAACCATGGTAAGGGAGATGTGCATGTTCACACACAACCATCCCTGTGCATGTATAGGGGCAAAAATGTATGGGTCTGCATGCACGGCAGATCATGGCAATGAGTGAGTTGGAGTGAACATTAATGCACACACACACCTCCAAGCACACGTCTTGAAAGTTTTAGCATGGTGTTTTCTTGGAATATATACGAGCAGGGTAGCTATATCTGTCATTCTGAAAAAATATTCCAGACAATGTTTAAAGCAAAGCATGAGAATGTTGAGCATGTGAAAAATATAAAAAGACTGCTGGATTTTTTATTTCATCTACCAAAATTCAAATTTAGCTTATTTAATTTACTGTGTCTAGGAGGCACAGTCAAATGCTGTTCTCTTTCATAGTACTAATGTCACTACATCAACTTCTCAGTTACACCATGGAGTTACTCCTAATTTACTGTAATGTGAAACTGCTCACAAAAAAGAGTCTTAGGTTATTAGTAAGTGTAAATATAGCTAAATAGATTCTGAATACAAATATTCACACATATACAAATAAATACAGATATAGATACAGTTTCTGAAATACCCCTCAGCGCAGACTCCTGCATAATCATATTCAGTTGCTATGACATCATTGCAATTCCCAGCACCCCATTTTTTTTTTTTAAGGAAAGTAAACAGCATTTCAAAGAGAATCTATCTAGCTACATCTGTGTGTAGTTTAAGGGAAGTGCCTTTTAGAGTTAAGCAGGTATAAATATTACTTCTGGATTTATCGTCTAGAAAAGGGAAACCATTGCACGGTAATGAGATGCAGAGAAGATACTAAACTGGGAAGAGTTGTGAGCACCAGCTGACAGCGAAGTAAACCAAAGGATTAAATAACAAAAATTAGATTCATCTTCAGAAGATGTGTGCGGAGGGAAAGAAGGCAAACCATGCAATCGTAAAAGAAGTGAGAAGTGGATCTGCAGAAAACAATTGGCATCAGATCAGAGGAAGGGATGTCGGTGGCATAAACCATTGATGGCAACTCCATGTCAAGGCAATGAGAAGCAAGGCTATAGCATTTTGGAATATGCCTATGGGGCTTACGAGTCTCTGCCCCAGCTTCAGATGTTGCCGGGGCTCATCTTCTCAACAAAACTAGTGTGCCGTGAGCTCAGATCTGCTTGCTACCCCGCACAACGTGTGCCCTTGGGATACAGAACTCGCCCTGTTCAAGCACGCACTTTCTGTCTGCGAATATAACCCTGGACTCACTTTGGAGATAATGAAGAGGAATGGGAACTTCTAGGATGTGATTCAGATCATCCTATAGCAGAAGCCTAAACTGGGTCAGATGAATCACACTTCAGAAGTGTTTTAGAAGCTCATGTTCTTCCCACTGAAGAGGCCTTTTTAGGGAACCTCCCTGCTGTAGGGAGCCCTGGCAAGGAAAGCCTGCCTGGCCCCCACTTTTCCCAGACACCCACTCAGACAAGAAGCAGGCTGGCAGCTGAATGACTGCATGAGTACAGTGAAGGCAAATCCAACGTCCTGTATGCACTTGGTGTTGCTGCTCAGCCCCTGAAGTCAGAGCCAAAGTCAGAGCCACTTTGCTTCACATCCAGGCCCATGGGCACTCAACACTCTCGCCCACTGCAAACCACTTCTGTCATAAAGACAAAAGTCCTTAATGAGTTTGCTATGCATGTGGAGTTAGTGGTGGTCAGCCAGTCACTGGAGAGTCACATCTGAGTTCCCTCTGAATTAATCTTCTCATGTAGAAGAGCCATATACTGTGACCCAAGTTACCACCTATTTTAGTTCCTGACACCTTCTTCTTTAAAAATCAGGACCCCTTAAGTATTTTTAAAAGTGGTACTTTACACTGTTTACCCAGCTGCGTGGTTTTGACAATGATACGTTTGACGATTATGTGTTTGATAATTATATGTGCGGAGGCTAAGGGGAAGTATCATGGCGGCTGCAGCTCCTCTCAGGGAGCAGAGGGGCAGCGCTGAGCTCTGCTCTGTGTGACAGCGACAGGGCCCGAGGGAACGGCGTGGAGCTGTCAGGGGAGGGCAGCTGGGGGTCAGGGACAGGGGCTGCACCACAGGGCGCTGGGCATGGAACAGCCTGCCCAGAGTTCAAGGAGCATTTGGATAAAGCTCACAGACATAGGGTTTGAATGTTTTGTGGTGCTGTGTGGAGTCACGTGTTGGACTTGATGAATCTTGTGGGACTCTTCCAGCTCAGGATATTCTATGAGTTTGTGATATCCCTATACCTGCTGTCCTGCCATTTTGGCTATGTCATCACTTCAACTTGTAGGGTAAATTATCTGATTACCACATAGAAAGGAAAAAAAGGATGAGTCCACAGCAATTATAGAAAAGTTGAAAAGAATGTGGAATTTGAGTATGAGGTTAAAGACACACACTTCGGCCAAGGCATTATTGAATATCAGAAGCAAAACTCAAGGAAAGTAGAGGTGAATCCCCATTTCTCAAAGTCACTGAGTCAAGATAGGATGCTTTATTCAAATGACTCTTTCATCTCTCCACTGTGCTGCCAGTGCTGGCTCATTCACCACTCCTTCAGATTTTCTGGATATCACTGCACTATGCAGTGCAGACATGCCTTGGAAGTCTCCTTTGACCTTGGCTTTTGAACCTATACAAGTAAAAGGATGAGCAGTTTCAGAGAACAACATGAACGGGGAACTGGGCAACAGGTCTGGCAGGAGGGGATGAACAATGAGTATAGGTTTTAAATGCTTCATCTGTGAGACTTGTCTTAATGACACCTGAGAAGGTGGAGAAGTGTGGTATTTTCAAAAGCTGTAAGCCTCAAGAAGGGAAAGGAATTATTTGGAGAGATATATAGCCTACTGTTTGGTGTATGCTGCACGTTCCTCCTCTGTGAAGGAAGGTTTGGTTAATGTAAAATAATTATTAAGATAACTTCTTTAATTCAAAGCCATGTTTTCAGTTTAAAAGACTCCAGATCATTTAAAAGTAATGACACGTATTGGTGGTTGTTGCAACATAGGGTGGAGGGGAGGGAACTGAGAAATGCAAACCAGTGCTGTTTTCCTGTTGACTTCTCTTGCAAGGTTTATCAGCGCCTGAAGTTACCCCAGTAGCTCATGGTCCATATTGGTTCAAAGAAGAACATCTTCAGTTCAGCTGCAAATCTAGGTGCTACAGTAAAAGCTCATCTTCAGTTTTGGTTTAAAGAATCACCTTGTTTGAACTAGTTTCTGTGACTATCATCAGGCTGATCTCCTGGACAGAAAAAATTAAATAAAAGCAAGTTAAAGGAAGACAATTTGCCTATAGGAACCACCCTAGTGGCAAGCAAGCTGAGCTGAAGAGGCGTCTTTTCAAGAGAGGCACTGTGAAAGTCCTGTTACTAAGGATATTTAAAGCTTCAGTATAAACAGAACTGAAGTGAACGACTTGCTTTCGTTAGGAGATAGATTGGATTTTCTCTTTATTCATATGTTCCACATATAGTGGTAGCCTTGCCTTTTGTTAGCCAAATTTCATACTGAAGGGAAAAAAGCCAATTTTAAAAAGATTTTTTAGGATCCACATTTGAATAGGCATTCCTGAAAATCCCTCTGTTGGCCGTTTGTATTTTTAATGTCCTCTGGAGCTATCCAACTGTGGACTCATTTGGCCTCACTTTCAGTCATCTAAAGTCTATTGACACAAAATAGTGTAGTGTACCACTATGAGCAAACTCCTTTTTTAGCCTGATTTAGATATATTCAGGAATCTCCCTGGGGGAGTGTGGTTTCCAGTATAAGGGTTACTTATGCTACCTTAGATTTCAGTTAATCCTGAGTTTAGAAATTAAAAAAGGAGAGCCTGGTTTATTTTGACAAGACTGTCCATGTTCATCAAGCTGAAATAAATGGCTTTGAAACCCTGATTTTTAATAGTCACAGTGCCAGTGTGGTATTGAATCTTTTAAATTCTGATACCTTATCTGGAAGGCTTCCAAAAATGCCAGTCCAGGAATGCTCTATTTCATTCAATGTCTTTAACAACTGCTTGGTAGCTCATCCTCTGCAACAGTGAGTACACATGACATTTGTAATTGTTGCCAACTCACAGGTGCTCTGCATTTATTCCCAGTGAATTTCACTTTTCTTTCTGTACCTGCACAGCTGGGTCACAG